CACAACCGCCTCGACGACGACCACGACGAGCACTATGATGCCGCCATCCTCTTCACGCGCGAGGTAGGCATCACCTCAGCCGACGGCGACTTGGTGTCCCTCGAACGATGCGTCGTGGGGTGGTGGGGCTGTGACGAGGCCCTCCGGCCGCATTACCCTGCTTTGCCCAGTGGTTGCCTCCCCGCTCGCGCCTTCGGCCTTTGCGTTGCGTTGCAGTGCGTCTCGGGGACCGGCACCCACACACATGGCTGCCGGCGATGGAAGAGGGGCTGAAAACGCAACAAACTGTGTGTGCGCTTGTGCGTGCCCCTTCCCCTGCGAGGTCATCCCCACTGCGGGTACACAGTTGTTCGTGCCAGTGTGGTGCTGGGACTCCTGCCAGGGTGGAGAGGTGGTAATTTGCCTGGTTGGGGGACTCGGCTGAGGCCACCTAACTTACCTCTGCTTGGGAGATGACGTTGTTCCATCTTTCCCGGTGAGATGTTTCACTCACAGCCCCTCTTTCTCCAGGGAGGTGGTCCAGGCAAAGGGCTGATAGCGCTCCCTAGCCTAAATTAGTCCCCAAACAAACCTGCTAGTGAAAGTGGTGAAGAACACCTTAAAAGTACACGCGACTTCCCTGTTGAGTGCACTGAGATGCTATTTCCAGCAAGAATAGCTCCGCCACACTGGAAGCCGGCAGCGCTTGTGGTTCAAGGGTAGGACGTAAATGCAAACCTCAGGTAAACAGAGCTGCAGAAGTTGGGTGAGTTGGGCTGGTGGTAAGGGGATGCAGTCTTTTTCTCGTTCCCCAAGTGTAAAATGGGTGTCCTGATCAACTGTGGGTCAAATCTGGCCGGTCTTACCCATGCAGAGCTGTGCCTTGCTCCCTGCCCGGTTGATAGTTAATTGCATTGCCAGAGGTCGTTAAGGGACATTGCTCTAGTAGACATGTGGCCGAGTTTATGCAATGAAGTTCCTCTGTAAGAATATCCCTTCAGCGGTTTGGGTTTGGTGTTTTCTTTTTTTCCCTTCTCCAAGTACGAAAAAAATAACTGCATGACTTTCCGTTCATTTGAGTTCTCCTGCTTTTCTACATCATAGGAGCCTGCCAAAAAGGATGCTTTGGATGGTTTGTGGAAGGAGTTGCTCCAGAAGGGGGGAAAAAAGCGCCTGGCTTGCTTTTATAGCTGTAAATAGTTGAAACATTAGGTTCTGTGTCAGTCAGGCATCACTTGTACAGCAGGAGCCTTTTTTAGCAGTTTAAAGCCCATCGGTCCAATTTGCAAGCTTTCTTTTTTTCGTCGTTATAATCTGAATGAAAGCAGGCTACCTAGGCTGGGTCAGAACGCTCTTGCTTTTTTCTATAAACATCCTTTCTAATGGTTTATTAATTAAGCCTGGGCCAGAATCCATCACTTTTCACTAAAGAGAGTTTTTCTCTGCCGGTATTCCCATTTATTTCCCTGCGATTTATTACAATTCAGAAACTCTTAGGGTGGCAGACTGTGAATCTTAACATCAATTATTAAGTTAATTTGGATTGAGATAGGATGTGAATTTAAAGTGCGCTTGCTTTACAGATGCTTATCTGTAATTCTTTGCATGGATGCCTTCCTGTCAGAATAAGAGTGTGGTGCTAATCAGTAATCCACTTTCAAAGACTCCTGAGCAATGCATCTTCCATGCGTAGTTACTTCTTTTGGATGTAAGTAGTACCTAAACTAAACAAAACGTCACAGTTCCTGTGGTCTCCTTCCACTCTTAAGATGCAAATATTGCTTGCAGTGTTACTTAGGGATGTAAATGCTTTGCAAGAAAAAAGCACAGGCTTCCGTTTTCTTGGTTTACATTTTAACACATTTAACTATGGGATTAGTTCCTCAGTGCAATTCAGCATAACTTCATCTGCTTTAATGATTAGCTCTGTGCACACGCACATTTTTGGCATTACATTTCGGTATTTGACTCAATAAGAACAAGACTTTTAGTTTCTTGCTACATGTGTTCATGATGTTCTTTGCAGGGAGTATGTGTGAGTCCACACGATTTTTATATGCTTACACTTGAAATGTCAACATGAATCTATTTGCTCCTTTTGGAATGTAAACACAAAAAGGGTTAAAGGAAGAAAAAGCAGTAGAGATGTTTCCTGGAGAAAACAGCCCCACTTTGAACTAAAGAGAGATTTTTTCCAGTTTAGCTTTTCAATGAGAGTGGCAGCAATTGGCAGGAGGATCCAACTTTTACAACTATGTTTTGAATGTATGAAGTACGTTGCTTAGCTACTAGACGCCAAGCCATGGCTGCGTGTTTTGATGGGCTCTGAATACCGTCATGCTAATTTTTGAACATCCAGATGTCTTCTTCTAAATGGCTTGGGTTTTAGGCATGGGGTAAATGCGTGAGGTACATTTTCCGTCTTTGTTTACTAACTGAGGCCACCTTGAACTTTGTGTCTCTGCGTCAACAGAATAATATTTGCAAATCGTTTGTCAGACGAACGCATGTCCTCAGCTGTATGTAACAGTTTATGTCTAGTTAGAATCTAAATTATGCATGCCGGTTGCCATGCAAGTCTCTAATATAATAATTATCTTTGTTCTGGAGTGACATTTACTTGGATGTTATTTTTGACACCAAAAGAGGCTCTCTGAAAAGTAGCTCTACTAGAGTTCCTTATAAAGGAAGAATCCCCGTCAGAATTCAGCACCATCGCTTCCTCCTTTTCTGTTGTCATTACTTGTTTAAAGATAAATTAATGACCATTCATAGACTAAGAGTGTGCTGGCAGCTCTGCCTTATTATAAAATTAGTACTGGCAGTTCAAATTAGTATCATCATCATTCATACTAGGAAGTACTTCCCGTGCAAAAGGATTTTTAGAAGATTTACTGATTCCGGATTAAAACATTCACTCACTTTTGGTCATTTAATTTGATAAGGGCTTTAAAACAATCATGCTGCGGAGCATAGTAAATAGTAAATAAATATGAACATGGGTTCAGTTCACAGGCAACGGGTGTTAAAACTGTTTTAAGGCTCTATATTGCTTATCAGTGGTGGCAAGAACCATGTAACTATCCATTAGCTGCAGTGAATCTATTTACTCTGTAACCGCAAGGAAAACTACAGCAACGTGTCTGGTCATTATTATCACCTGTGTAGGAGATTGTAAAAACCCTCAATGGGCACAGAAATTATCTATCACTAAATATTGCAGAAACATAGTTGGGCTCCACAGTGATTATTTAAATTCCTGAAATCTAATAAGGAGAAGTGTATTTTCCCAATGGTCTCAATCTCTCCTTTTGACCCACGATGGCCTGTATCAAGCCTGACAGAGGTCTCACTTGTCAGTACCAAAAGGTGATAATTTTCTAATAAATCCTGTGAGAGCGCTCATTAAGGTTTGGCCTTGACAGCCTTAGAGAATACATGGGTCCCCTGCTGTTCGACTACTTTGTGGTTGAGTCCTTGACAGCAGCTGTAAATTTTGGGGCCACATGCATCTTCAGAGCATCCTCTGTGGAATATGGTGATGCAAGGATTTGATCATCTGGTGTCCAGGTGAGTCCTCCGCCCCATGCGGCAGTAGAGAAGTGGCTGTGTGGTGGGAAGGAGGAAGAGCTTGGTAAAGCCCTCTTCCCCTGGGGATTAGCTCGCTTCGTTCTCGATGGCAATGAAGTCAACAGCAAATGTAGAATTTAGTCTGTTTCAGGCTTTTTTATTGTGAACAGTTCTCAGAAGCTGGAAACAGGTTATCTTGAGTCTTCAGGTTTTTTTGGCAACAAAATACTTGCCAGATCATTTGTCACAGTAGAAGAACGTATTAGACGTGACTTGCAAACTGCACTTGAACTCAAACTGTTCTTTTCTGAGGTCTAGCCTGCTCTGCAACTATCCTCTAGAATTCATCCAATCTATTTCATTAGTGACCCTTACTCAAATTTCAAGTGAACTATTGAATGCATTTGGACAAAATCCAGTTCTTTTCCTTTCCTTTTCCCTTTGTCATGGTTTAACCCCAGCTGGCAACTAAGCACCACCCAGCCGCTCGCTCACTCCCCTCCCCAGTGGGATGGGGGAGAGAATCAGAAGGGTAAATGTGAGAAAACTCATGGGTTGAGATAAAGACAGTTTAATAGGCAAAGCAAAAGCTGCGCACGCAAGCAAAGCAAAACAAGGGATTCATTCACGGCTTCCCATCGGCAGGCAGGTGTTCAGCCATCTCCAGGAAAGCAGGGCTCCATCACGTGTAATGGTTACTTGGGAAGACAAACGCCATCACTCCGAACGTCCCCAAGTTCCTTCTTCTTCCCCCAGCTTTATATGCTGAGCATGACATCACATGGTGTGGAATATCCCTTTGGTCAGTTGGGGTCAGCTGTCCCAGCTGGGTCCCCTCCCAACTTCTTGTGCACCCCCAGCCTACTCGCTGGTGGGGTGGGGTGGGAAGCAGAAAAGGCCTTGACTCTGTATAAGCACTGCTCAGCAGTAGCGAAAACATCCCTGTGTTATCAACACTGTTTTCAGAACAAATCTGCAACATAGCCCCATACTAGCTACTATGAGGAAAATTAACTCTGTCCTAGCCAAAACCAGCAGAATTCTGAATCATGTGAAAACTAAAATAGATATTTCTCACAGCAGATACAGGCAACAAGAGGAAGAAAAAATACTTTCCTAAGTGCTTGTTAGCATCATGCCTGGCTCTAACAAAAAGTTCATGCTAGAGCCAAAGGCCGCTGTCCTGCCTTTTTCTATACAGTAATTATGTGGGTCTTGTGTGTGTGATTTAGTTTAACTGTCAATCTGACAGTGCTGTTGAAATTTAACAGTAAGCTTTGGATTATCTCAGCTCTGTAGATGATAATTTCATTGTGTGGAGCACATGCTTTCTTTGGCTCTAGTTCTTTCTTCTTTTTTTCTTTTCTATATTATCATCTTCCCACAATTATTATCCCGTATTAGTAAAACAGGTCACTGTACCAATGGTCAGTAGAATATATTTCACTAATGTTTATTATTATTACTCTGAAGAAATTGTAATGTGATGTGTCTACCAGTTTCGTAGTGTTTTC